TGAGCCAGCCCCCTGTCCACCAGTATCTGTAAGTAGGTAAGAATAGAGCCCAGCGTGCATGACAGAGGCTCTAGACTCCTTCCTTCACACCATCGCCGGAATCTCGCCCACTTTGGCCTGTAACAGGCTGTGGTGGATTCTGCTCCTGCTGCTTGGATAGTCTGAATAACGTTGTCAGACAGCCCCACCTGTCTCAGCCTGTCCCTCTCAGGAGCCAAGCCTGGAGAGGTTGGCCCAGAGTGGGTAACGCCCCTATTGCCCCTGCTTCCTGAGACAGCGCTCCCCAGACCTGAGGAATAGTCCAGGGCTGTCCCCCCATCATCTGTGTTACCCCGCGTACCACGGCGCCAGGCGGCGATCAGGGGCCACTAGGATGACTGACAGCTGCTCCCGCCTCACCCTATCCAGAAGGGGGGGGGGATAAGGTGCAGCGGTGGAAAGGCGTAAAGCAGCTTCCTTGGCCATGCTCGTGTGCAAATGCGTCCACCCCCAAGGGCGGATTGTCCTACCGGGCCAGGGAGAACCACAGGGCACAGTGGCTGTTGCGCCAATTGGCGAACAGGTCCACCTCTGCTCTCCCGAACTGAGTCCAGAACCGCTTCACCACCTCCGGGTGAAGCCCACTTGTCTGGCAGGGGTCCGCCTCTTGACATGAGGTCGGCCCCTCCGTTCTCCCGTCCCGGGATGTGCAGGGCCCTTAGAGACAACACAATCTGTGAAACCCACAACCACGGGTTCTCTGCCGCGGTCAACAAGGCTATTGAGCGGACTCCGCCTTGCCTGTTGATGTACGCCACTGTGGTGCGGTTGTCGCTCCTCACTAGCACATGTTTGCCCTGTATTAAGGGTTTTAAGTGCTGTAGGACCAGCATCACTGCTTGCAGCTCCAGGAAGTTGCTGTGCCGAGCCTCTGTCAGAGGCCAGCAACCACCTACAGCTCTCTCTAGGCACGTCCCCCCCATCCTGTCACTGAAGCGTCTGTAAAGACTGTGATATAGGAGGTCACTTGCCCCAGTGGAGCTCCCCTCCGCAGATTCTCTGGGGACCCCCAGAATCGGAGGTTGCTCTCTACTGAGGGGGGGGATGATCACCAGACGTCGTTTGTGTATTGAGATCTAAACGAAGGCCGGTAAGCCACCTCTGTATGCGACGTGCATGCAGAAGTCCGAGTGGCACTACGGAGTGAGCAGCCGTCATGAGACCCAAAGTCTGCATGATGATCAAAGCTGTCACCGTCGCCCCCTGACACAGCCTGCAGATTGCCCGCAGCAGGGATGCCTGTCTGCTTTCTTTCAGGGTGGCACGTAGTCTGCCTGCATCGAGCATCACCCCCAGATATTCTACCTGCTGGTGAGGTATGGGGGAGCTCTTCTTCCAATTGACCGCAACTCTTTTTCAACCCAACTTGGTTAGGTGTAGGATCAATTGGGCTGTGTGAAACATTGCCCATTCCCTGGACCTGGCCATGACTATGAGGTCGCCCAGATAAAAGAACACCCTCATGTCATGGTCCCGCAGCGGTTGCAGCGCCGTAGCGTGCGTGGGGATAGGGAGTAGCCGAACGTCAGTCTGTTGTACTCGCTACCCCCTGGAAGGCAAAACGCAAATACTTTCTGTGTTTTGGAGACATTTCGCCATGAAAGTAAGCGTTCTTCAGGTCGATGGTTGTGAACCAATCGCCTGGCTGCACCAGTCCCAGTAACTGTTTCATAGTTAACATATGGAACTTCTTGCATGCAATGTGCTGGTGCAGCTATTTGAAGATCCAGAATGGGCCTGAATTCTCCTGTCTTCTTGGGAACCAGGAAGTACAGGGAATAGTGCCCCTTCTCTCTGACTTGAGAGTGCACATGCCGAGAGGAAACCTATCTCCTCCTGGGATGACAGATTTGCCTCTCTCATGCCTCTGAACGGAGGAGGGCTACTGCAAAACTGGAGTGAATAACTCAGTCTCAGTGTCCTGTCCGTCCGCCCTGTTAATACACCACTGATTTTCCATTCCCCATAACATTGTGTTAGGGGATGTGCAATCAGCTGCGGAGCCGCAGCTATGAGGCTGTGGTACTCTCTGGTGGCCCACTCCGTCGTCAAACCCTCCATAAAAGGAAGTTTGACCCATGGGGGGCTGACACAGAAAGGGCCGTTTTTCTATAATGCAGTTTCCACTCAGAGACCAAAACGGCCGATTTTTCACTGAGGTCCCTGAACACACCACGGCACGCACCGTGAGAGCGCGCGCTCCGCCATAATGCTGTTTTCTCTCAGAGAGAAAGAGGCATTAATCTGAGCTTCTTCTGTCCATGAACGCACCGCGGCCCGCTCTCGGGGGGGGGGGGGGGTCGTCATAATGCCGTCTCTTTGAAACGGACATTATGGGGAAATGTGGAATGTGGAGAGAGATGACTCTTACTCTGGGATAAATGCACTCGTTTTTACTGAATGCATTTTATACACACATATCACTCTAGAACTAGAGTTACACTACGTAACCCACTGCTCTTCTGCGGAGGTCCCTGAACGCACCGCGGCCACTCTGACGGGGGCCGCGCCTCATAATGGGTGTCCAATTAACATCGTATGAAAACGGCCTTGCCGATCTCAACGAGACATTATGGGAAAATGTGGAATTGTGGAGAGAGATGACTCTTACTCTGGGATAAATGCCATAGTCTTTACTAAATGCATTTTTCACACACACATATCACTCTAGAACTAGGGTTACAATACGTAACCCACCGTTCATGTAACAGGGCCTCTTTTCGACTTCCTGTTGAAAGGAAACCTATCTCCTCCCAGGATGATATATTTGACTCTATATTGCCCCTGAATGGAGGAGGGACGCTGCAAAGCTTGAGTGAGTAACGGCCCGTCTACACTACAGGCGTCAAAAAATGCTTTCAACGCTTCGCCCATTCATTTGAATGGGGTGACGTAGGATATTTTCAAACTTCGCCAAACTGCATTGTGGGTAGCTTGGCAAGGCGTTGCAAGCGTCGCTAGCCTCAAAAGTTGAACATTGTTCAACTTTTGAGGCTCGATGCTTTCTCGAAGCTGGCGCCAATCAAATCCCGTTTTTGCAATTCCCGCCAGTACAAGCGCTAGCCAATCAAACCGCGTGTATGCTGATCCCGCAGGTCTTGACTATTTTCCATATGTCATAAAATGGAGGACAAATTAATCATTGCTGTGGCAAATGTCCCAGTCCTGTATGACTGTACTCTGTTCACCTACCGGGACCTACACCGGAGGAACCAGGCATGGCGGGAGGTGGCAGAGACAGTTGGTGAAACTGGTAGGTTTTCAACTGTTTGGGGAGTTTATATCCAGTTTACTTCGTTTTAG